TACAGCCATATATATATATATATATATATACACCCAGTCACACATATGTCCAGCATATACATCCACCCCTATACACACCCATCCACACATATGCCCAGATTCCCGGCACACACATACCCAGACACTCATATGCCAAACTTACAAAATAACTCAATGCGTTGAACTACTGACCTTCCTACTCTTCTAGTATTTTTTGTCTTACTTTAAAAATGTTTTTCTCTTTGTTTTCTTTTTCTCTGCATCATAACTCTTCTTATTCTAAATTTCTTTTTTTAACTTTTATTTAATAAATATAAATTATTCTAAATTTCTCCTGCTTCTCTCTTCTTTCAATTTATGGAGCAAAAATGAAAGCAAAAACTATTCTCTAATAGCAAATTCTCTAGACCTTCTTGGTTCATTTTACCCTCAGTAATTTTGTTTCATGGCAGCTCTAAGTAAAAAGGTACTTCACTTTTCCACTTATTATTGTAAAGGGTATTTATACCCTCATATTTTTAGTGACCTTTTGAAAAAATTAATTCACATAAGTTAAAAGAAAAGCCATTTTTATTTTATACTTTGGAACCCCTGGTTGCTTACTACTGGTATGTGTGGCTGCTAGATGCTGCTGTTGGAGACACAGTGGGTATTGTCATCCTTATTTCTGTTACCTCTTTGGATTTTCATTTATATAAAGAGGAAGAGATTTCAAGTATTTCATATATGCAATTTTAAGCACATAATGATACTTCACACTCATTCCATCCCTCTTCTTGTTTCCTTTTAATTTTTATAACATACTTTCAATTTACTTTATAGAGGCTTAATCTTACACTAAATAAAGAATTCAACAAGTAGAAAGTAGACCACTGTTCCACAGAGGTATAGACAAAGTCTATAAACAATAATCAAATCTGACAATGTCAATTTCACTCATGCATTGCATTTTTTGTACTCCATGTATTAGCTACCATACGTCAGAGAAAAAATATGATATTTGTCTTTTTGGGTTGACTTATTTCACTAAGCATAATGCTCTGCAGAAGCAGATTTTGATTTTGTATCACAAACATCATCTAGAACTCAACTTTGAGGGTTGGCCTGCTGTTTGGGATGACCGCATCCCCTACTGGAGTGCTATCTCAAGTCCCGGCTACTCTGCTTCCAATCCATCTTCCTGATAATGCATCATGGGAGGCAGCAGATAATGGTTTAAATGCATGGGCCAATGGATGGAGTTCTGGGCTCCTGGCTTTGGTCTGGCCCAGTTCTGGCTGTTGTGGGCATTTGGGGAGTAAACCAACAGGTTGAGGATACCTTTCTCACCCTCTTTCTGTCTCTCATTCATGTAAATGGAACTAAATAAGTAAACATTAAAAAACAACCTAAAATTTGCAAAACCATGTCATCATTGAAAGGAATTTAACATAATCTAATATGGAAACTTCAAACTACACTAAGTCAGTAGTTGTATTGTGCCTAGTGGATGTTGTGTTTTCATGTGTTGAACATATTTCAACATTCCCATGTGAATTTACTTGATACAACTAGGGCAATGTGGCAGAGGTTGTGAACTGTTGTATTTATACCAAAACATAATATTTGTATCAAGGTAAAATAATATCAGGTGTTTGAAGCAGAGGCAGACGTACTAAGCATGTTCATCTGCAGAATTCTCATTAATACCTCAGATCTTTTTTTTAATTTACCACAGATATATCAGCATATCATTTCATTCTTCTATGACAGAGTTCACAAACATCTGCCATTAGGAATAAGAAATCAACAATTTCTTACCTATTTTGTGTTTGTGTATGCGTGTTTGCTAAAGATTTTCTGTATATTACTTTCTACTATTCTTTTCATTAAACAATTACTGATTTAGGTTCATGTAGTTTTGGACTTAGCACTGACTTTAGTAATGAAATATTTCTATCATTAAGAAGAAATATACAAACTTTCAGTCAATTAGCTCACAAATATATTTTAGAGCTTACTTTGTTTTACAGCTGGAGACTTTGTCATAGATGTTCCCACAGCCAAGTGGGAGTTCATAACAATCTAGTGTATGTTGTATGAACAAATAAGGAAAAGAAGCTCTAAGCTTCCAATCACAAATGTGATGTCAAAGAAGGGGAATGTTGATTACCCAGTTTTGATCAGTGTACATTGTATACACATATTAAAATATCACACTGTCGGCCATAAGTGTGTATAATTATTGTGTGTTTGCATGTGTGTGTGTGTGTATATATATATATATATATATGAATCTGACTCTTTACCATTTGTTATCTGTCCAAAAGACAGGAGACCTTTGGCAGTTTTTCATTTGCTTTGTCCTTGGTTTATCTTCTGTTTGTTTTCATTTGAAATAAATTCTATGCCACAGATTTGCTTCCCTAGCATATTTTAATGGCAAGGCTTAAGTCTAAAAGAATAATTGGAAAATTGACAGGTTGCCATTGGAACTGTCTTTTTAAAAAAGGCAATGAAAATATTTGCTATCTTCAGACAGATTTTTGACCCTGGACTAAAAATCTAGACTCCCTGTTAATACTGTCAGGTTAAACATTTGGTGTACCCTGTTCAGACCAATATATCGTATATAGTGTGGCTGTTAAACAAGAGAAATTTAATGCTCACAGTTCTGGAGGCTGGGAATAACAGGGCCATGGTGTGAGATCTGAAGTCTGGTGAAGGCTTACTTCCTTACAGATGGCTATTTTTTTTCCACACCCTCCATGGTGAAAGTGCCAACAGAGCTTTTTTTTTTTTTTTTTTTTTTTTTAAGATGTATTTATTTGAAAGAATTACAGAGAAGGAGGGAAAGACACAGACACACACACAGACATGGCAGGTAGGGGTTAGGGAGAGAGAAAGAATTTTCCATGTGCTGCTTCACTCTCCAGATGACCACAATGGCCAGGGCTGGACTAGGCAGAAGGCAGGAGCCAGGAGCTTCCCCTGGGTCTCCCACACAGGTGTAGGGCGCTAACTTTCTACTGCTTTCCCAGGCCATAGCAGAGAGTTGTATCGAAGTGGAGCAGCCAAGACTCCAATTGGCACCCATATGGGAAGCTGGCTCTGCAGCCAGCACTGCAGCTGGCTTTATGTGCTATGCCACAGTGCAGGCCCAGGCTCTACTTCTAAATACTATCTCATTGCAGGTTAGGATTCCACTTTGAATTTGGGGTGGTGGAGACACTTTGAATCCATGGTGGGATCCAAATGTATTGATTTTATTATTTTTAATTAAATATCTCTTAAGAGAGATGGTAGAACATCCGGAATAGAATGTGTTAATAATTCTTCTTGGTTGAATATTTTGAGAATTCTATCTTTAGTAGATAGAAACTGATTAAAAGAGAAAGAGAATATAATTTTGGCATTTAAAATATGTTTTAAGATTCAGTCATTTGCAACAAAATGGAGGAATCTGGAAAACACCATGCTGAGTGAAATGAGCCAGTTCCAAAGGGACAAATATCATGTGTTCTCTCTGATCGGTGACAACTAACTGAGCACCTAAAAGGAAACCTGTTGAAGTGAAATGGACACTATGAGAAAAATGTCTTGATCAGCCCTTGTCCTGACTGTAGGGGAACAACTTACTATTTTATTCCTTTTAGTATTTTTTTGTTCTACTTAATACCATTGGTTGAAGTCTTTAATTAACACACAATTATTCTAGTCATTTAAATTTAACAGAAAAATGACTGCTGTTAAATATAAGAGTGGGAATAAGAGAGGGAAGAGATGTACAGTTCAGCACATGCTCAATCAGGCTTATCCCTAATGGTAGAGCTAGAAATGTGCCAGGGGATTCCAATTCAATCCTATCATGGTGGCATGTACCAATGCCATCTTGCTTGTTAAAGTGATCAGTTTAAGTTAATATTTATCAAAAAGGACTAAGTGTCAAAGGGGTTACATAAATAAGACCAATGTCTGCAAATAGTAATTGAATTAAATTATAGAATAATAATATTAAATTATGAATAATATAATTAAATTATGAATAACAATATAATTAAATTATGAAAAACAGTAGAATTAAAAAAGGAGAGAATGATCCTACATGGGAAGCAGGATATACAGCAGACTCATAGAATGGCAAATTCCCTAAACAGCACTCTGGCCTCAGAATCAGCCCTTAAGGCTTTCAGATCTGGCTAAAAAGCCCATGAGAGTATTTCAGGCATGGAAAGCCAAGACACTGTGGCCAAAAAAAAAAAAAAAACCTAAATGAAAGATCTCTGTGAGTGAGATCCCAGTGGAAAGAACAGGCCATCAAAGAAGGCAGTACCTTTCTCTGAAGAGAGGAGAGAACTTCTACTTTGAACATGGCCTTGTCTAAATAAGATCGGAGTTGGTGAACTCAAAAGGCTTCCATAGTCTCGGCAGCTCATGACAAGAGCCTCGGGTGATTGCTGATGTCATAAATAAGAGTGTCAGTTGTTAAATCAACAATGGGAGTCACTGTGCACCTGCTCCCCATGTAGGACCTCTGTCCTTAATGTGTTGTACTATGTAAATTAATGGTAAAACTACTACTCAAACAGTATACTTTGTGTGTCTTTGTGGGTGCAGTCTGTTGAAACTTTTATGTAGTATATACTAAGTTGATCTTCTTATATAAAGGTAATTGAAAATGAATCATGATGAAGAATGGGATGGGAAAGGGAGTGGGAGATGGGATGGTTGGGGGTGGGAGGGAGGTTTTGGGGAGAAAAGCCGCTATAATCCAAAAGTTGTACTTTTGAAATTTATATTTATTAAATAAAAGTTGAAAAAAAGATAAAAATCTAGAAAATAATTTTAAATTTAAAATGCTATTAAATTTTAAGTTTGAAGTTTTGCAAAAACCCTGTGTTACCAATGGCTGTGTTTCAGCCAGTACATTTTATGGGGTGAGAAATGAGTCACTTAACTTCTGAATTTACTTGTCTTCTTAGTATAATAAAGGGCTAGATTGCTTGACTTAATATCCTGGTGTTTTCCTCTTTTTCTTCCAGATTTTATTGTTCTAACCCAAACTGTCTTGTGACTGCTGGCTGGAATTAAGGTCAGTGCTATATTTATATTGATTCTAAATAAGCTGTGAAATAATGAAAATAACATTTTGAATCTTCATATGCAGGATTAGAATATTCTTGCAAAGTGTGATAGAAAGTTAAATTTTGTATGAACTGGATATGCATCAAACTTGGCACGCTATAAAACATAGGTCCCCCATCAATATATATATTCATAATTAGTGTAATTCCTTTGGCTATTTGAATGTTGAATTTATTTTACTTGTCATAAAAAGATCCAATTCTAATTAACTCATTTAATTAACAGGAGTATTGAAAGAATGACTTCATCAAAATGCTAGTAATGTTTTAAAGAATGATCAGTTTTCTAAATTTCAGGAAAACACCTGTAAATCCCACAATTTGGTACCTACAGAGACTACATTTCTTAAGGAGAATAGAGTTCAAAATGTGCTTATTGATCACAAATGTCAGTTAGTTAGCAAGCTGTTAAGATGTCAATCCTTTTGTTCTGTTTTCTCATTAAGGCGCTTTTATAGAAGACTCAAACCAGCTTAACTAAGTTTAGAGTAATAATGAATTTAGAGGGCCCTCAAATCAATAGACTTGGGATTCCATTTATCTTTTTTGTTTTCCCTTCTAGAACATATATTCAGATTTGAAAATAAAATAAAAAACTAAACCTCAAATGAAATGAGGACTTTTGTTGCTCATAAAAGAGCAAAATGCCAGGTGTTGCTAGCCGTTTAAATGGGTACTTGATTAATGATTAACATAAGGGAAAACATTGGCTTTTCATTTGTGCTACCACTAATCCAGAATTTTCCCTGTAAAGCTCACATTTAACCCTTCCAGTAGCAGTGTCTAATATATAGTAAATGTGTACCTTCTCTAGCCTCGATTCCAACCTCATAATCCCATACCCAATCTCCCTCTCTCTCATTACACACTAAAATGAAAGGCTACTATTAGTTTTCAAGTACAACTTGTGCTTTTTCTCTTTGAAACTTGTGTTGAATGAAGAAAAAGAATATTTTGGAATTATGCCTAGTGCTAATTGGCACCTTAATAAAGAAAACAAGGTGAAATGTCTACACATGGTGACTAAAAGTCTATTCATACATTGTATTATTTTATTATGTGATGATATAGTTAGGGGTTGAAGTTGTTGAAGAGGCTCAACCTGGCTTCCCTTTTTATTTACTGCTTCATACATTTTTTTGTAAACTGCAGTACTTTAAAATGCACAGTTTCTCTTAAGACTTTTTGGACTTTTCAGACATTTTTCCCTTGTCAGCCACCACCCTATCTACCTGCCAAACAGAAAGTAGAAGTAGTAAGAGATTTTGGCAAAGTATGTGTCTTTGAATCAGGAGTATTTTCAATGTGCAGGGTTAAATTTGAATTCTTACTTTTCATTTAATTAGAAAGAAGCCTTTACCTTGTCTTCTTTAAATGGGAGCAGATGCTCCCTTTTCTCACCTTGTTATGGTTGGTAGAGTCAACATGAAATGTCGTCCTTCTCTATCACTTTCCAGAGAGAGAAAAAACTAAAAAGAAATGAGATTTTATTAAATAAAATTTATATAACAGTAATAGACAAAATTTTTTCTTCATCTGATCCATAACTCATTTTCCATATGGAGAATTTCTTCTTTGTGAATATGAACATTGAGTTTGTGAAAATGTGCAAGATCAGCATGCATTACATATTTTCAAATAAATATAGCAATTAAATTGTATGTAAAAATGGAAGCATGTCTAAATGTCTGTTGTCCAGTACTTCCAACAGAGTAGAGATTATTTAATTTGGCTATCAATTGTCTAAATCACATTTTGTAAAAGCAGTTAGATATAATAGCACTTTCAAAATATATTCACTCTCTAGAAACAGCCAGAGTCTCAACACAGAATGTTTGCATGTATTGAAAATTACCATTTTTTCCTCAACTACAGCTAAATACTTCTGGCTTAAAAAAAAAAAAAAAAGTGTCCCTAACAGAAAAGCATTTTTTTCTATGGTCATTGCTGAACCAAATGACCAGTTTTAATAGATAGAAACAAGCTCTAGTTAGGGATATATAAAATAGGTTAGCAGAAATACCACTGTCATACTACATCAATCCTAAAATGTATATTTTTCACTATGTAAAATTAAATTAAGCTATAGTTAAATTTACTACATTTAAAATTTTTTTTGGTGGTAAGTGATGTGTGTGTGTGTGTTTTAAGATTTGTTTATTTATTTGAAAGGCAGAATTACAGACAGCAGAGGCAGAGATAGAGAGAAGTCCTCCATCTGCTGGTTCACTCCCCAAATGGCAGAAACAGCCAGAACTGGGTCGATCTGAAGCCAGGAGCCAGGAGTTTCTTCTGGGTTTCCCACATGGGTGCAGGGGCCCAAGCACTTGGGCCATCTTCCTTCTACTGCTTTTCCAGGCCAGAGCAGAGAGCTGCACCAGAAGAGGAGCAGCCAGGACTTGAACAGGCACTCTTTTGGGATTCCAGCACTACAGACAGTGGCTTTATCTGTTATGCCACAGTGCCAGCCCAGATGTGTGTTTTATAATACATAGTCTTTTAGATTCTATGAAACACAATATTATACAATATCTTACTGTTATTAATAACACTGCTATGAATATCCTACTAAAATGTTCATATTCACTGACACATACACACACACACACACACACACATTGTACTTCACATCCATTTGTAGAAGTAGAATCATTTAGGGGCCAGTGTTGTGCCATAGCAGGTAAAGCCACCCTCTGCACTGCCAGCATCCCATTTGAGCACCAGTTCAAGTCCCAGCTGCTCCAATTCCAATCCAGTCTCCTGCAAATGGCCTGGGAAATCAGCAGATAATGGCCTAAGAGCTTGGGCCCCTGCACTCATGTGGGAGACCGGGAAGAAGCTCCTTGCTATTGGCTTTGGCCTGGTCCTGGCCTGGCCACTACAGCCATCTGGGGAGTGAACCAGTAGATAGAAGATTTCTCTCTGTCTCTTCCTCCCTCTTTGTAACTCTGACTTTCAAATAAGTAAATAGATCTTAAAAAAAAAACTAGTATCATATTGTCCAAGTTTAACATATTTAAAGTGACAAATATGAGTATTCCCAAGAATTAATGTATCAATGTGCACTTCATCAGTACATATGGAGTCAGTTTCAAAATGTTAATAACATTAGAATCAGGATTTAAACATTTTACTCTCAATTTGGTAAGTAAATAAAGGTGTCTCATTTTTTATAATTTAATATGAAACAGGAAACAGATGCTTATAAAGTTAATAGCCATTAATCATTAAAATATTAATATGCACAACACAATTTGCTTTTGATAGAAATATTGGTAATGCTGATTTCACTGGCTGTGTCACTCTCAGCTTGGGAAGGCTGTTTGATCACGTGCTATTGAAGCAACAGAAGATTTAGAAGCTGATTTTCACTGTTATAAAAATAGATGACAATGTTAATTTTATTAATTATGGTTTTCTTGAGAAGTTGAGAACCATGAGGAACCCTGTTGAATAGAGTTCTCAAGTTTACTTGTAGTGGAAGTATTGCTCCCAAGTGATAAAAGGGACCACAGCTTTTACAAAAGTGTTTTGAATGCTGTAAGAAGAGAATAATTAAGACCACTGTATAAATCTGGAAAAAAAATGCAAGGTCATAAAGCTTATTAGTGAGTTTTAAATTACATGAATGTCTTTCATCAATATTTTAAATATATTTACAGTATTTTCTAAAATGCCTACTGCCTTTTTTGCCTAATTTTGCAAAAATCACAAGTTAAAAATATTATTTTATATAACTTGTTGCCATCTTTTATCCACATTTCTTGAAATATGAACAACATTCTTTCTTTAGCCTTCTCCTAATGCAATCAGTAATTAACATCTCTAAAGACACAAATTTTAATCTCACCCAAGCCCATCCCCAAAAAGGGATTACATCTTTAGGACTCACACCTGCTGTTAAGGAATCTATTGCTTTCCACCAGGCTCTCAGTGCTGTAACACATCCCCTGTGTTTGCAATGGCTTTTTACTATATTGAAATACTCCTAAAGCTGTTGATTTAAGCACATGTAGTTAAAATTAAATGAGGTTATGGTTTCTTTCTTTTTTCTTTTTTTTAAACTTTTATTTAGCAAATATAGATTTCCAAAATACAGCTTATGGATTACAATGGCTTTCCCCCCCATAACTTCCCTCCTGCCTGCAACCCTCCCAACTCCCTCTCCTTCTCCCATTCCATTCACATCAAGATTCATTTTCAATTATCTTTATTTACAGAAGATCAATTTAGTATATATTAAGTAAAGATTTCAACAATTTGCACCCACACAGAACATAAAGTGTAAAATACTGTTTGATTACTAGTTATAGCATTAATTCACATTGAACAACACATTAAGGACAGAGATCCTACATAAGGAGCAAGTGCACGGTGACTCCTGTTGTTGACTTAACAAATTGACACTCTTGTTTATGGCGTCAGTAATATCCCTAGGCTCTTGTCATGAGGTGCCAAGGCTATGGAAGCCTTTTGAGTTCACCGACGTCCATCTTATTTAGACAAGGTCATAGTCAAAGTGGAGGTTCTCTCCTCCCTTCAGAGAAAGGTACCTCCTTCTTTGATGGCCCGTTCTTTATACTGGGATCTCACTCACAGAGATCTTTCATTTAGGTCATTTTTTTTTTTTTTTTGCCAGGGTGTCTTGGCTTTCCATGCCTAAAATACTCTCATGGGCTCTTCAGCCAGATCTGAATGCCTTAAGGGCTGATTCTGAGGCCAGAGTGCTGTTTAGGACATCTGCCATTCTATGAGTATGCTGGTATCCTGCTTCCCATGTTGGATTGTTCTCTCCCTTTTTTATTCTATCAGTTAGTATTAGCAGAAAATAGTCTTGTTTATGTGATCCCTTTGACTCTTAGACCTATCATTGTGATCAATTGTGAACTGAAATTGATCACTTTGACTAGTGAGATGGCATTGGTACATGCCACCTTGATGGGAGGTTTCATGGTGTCCTGAATCCTTAAAGAGATGATGTCCTGTAATTACATCAATAGTAGTTACATAAAATTATTTAGCAGTGCTCTGATTTTGATCCTGTATTTCAAAAGTTGGATCCTCTGCTGCTTTCTGCCTGCCTCTGGGACTCCTTTCTCACTCTGCTTGATTACCAACATCTCCTGTCTTCTGTGATTTCAGAGTGGCAAGCTGCTTGCTTGTTCTTCATCAGCCTTTCTGATTTTATTCTGTAAAATGGGAGCAAAAGCAACTTATACTTAAAGTATAAAGTAGCAGGTAAAGCCACTGCCTGCTGTGCCGGCACCTCAGATGGGTACAGGTTCAAGTCTCTGCTGCTCCACTTCTGATCCAGTGCTCTGCTATGGCCTGGGAAGGCAGTAAAAGTAAAACATGGCCCAAGTCCTTGGGTCTTTGCACCCACGTGGGAGACCCAGAAGAAGCTCCTGGCTCCTGGCTCCTGGCTTTGGATCACCCTAGCTCCAGCCATGGTGGCCATTTGAAGAGTGAACCAGTGGATGGAAGACTTCTCTCTCTCTGCCTCTGCCTCTCTATAGCTCTGCCTTGCAAATAAATAAATAGATCTTAAAAAAAGATTCAATGAGATAATGTATTGCTGTTAATCTTAAAAATGGAGGCCCTCATTCCACTATCAAAGATTTTTTAAGATTTATCTATTTATTTGAGAAGCCAAGTTATAGACAGAGAAAGGGCAAGGCAGAGAGAGAAGTCTTCCATCTGCTGATTCACTCCCTAAATGACCACAAAGGCCTGAGCTGGGTTGATCTACAGCTGGGAGCCAGGAGCTTCTTCCAGGTCTCTCATGCAGGTATAGGGGCCCAAGTATTTGGGCCATCTTCTATTGCTTTCCCAGGCCATTAGCAGAGAGCTTGATCAGAAGAGGAATAACTGGCATAGGAACCAGAGACCATTTGCGATGCCAGCCCCACAGGAGCAGACTTCATACCACACCACACCACACCACAGCACTGGCCCCTGGTTGTTTTCTTTATCTAGATTTTATTTGCATAAATCTGGTACTTCTCTGATACTTAAGACAGGAAATAAAATTGTTAAGGCTATTTTCATCATAAAAACTTATAAATAGTATATAAATGAATGAAGTCAGTATAGTTTTTTTAGATTTTTGTGGCTTTTTTTCAATTTTTAAAAAAGATTTATTCATTTATTTGAAAGACAAAGATACAGAGAGAGAGACAGAGATCATCCATCCACTGGTATAGCCCCCAAATGACCAAAATGGAGTTAGGCTTTCCATCTGGATTTTCCTGGGATGGCAGGGACTCTAGAACTTGGGCCATCACTGCCCCATTCCCAAACACATTAGCAGGGAGCTGAATCAGAAGTGGAGCAGCTGGGATTTAAACTGTCTCCCATATGGGATGCCAGCCTTGTAAACAGCAGCCTGACTCACTACACCACAACACCAGCCACCAATTTTTTTCAAACTTTTTGTTTTGTTTTTCATTTGTTTTGTGAGAGGCAGAGA